GATTCAGGAGGAAGCGGAGAGAGAGCACGCCGGCTAGATGGAGGCGATGTTTGTGACTTTAAAAACTGCTCACTCTCAACTATAACTCAAAGTTGGAGCCAGTTGAACATCCAGGCACTGCTATTGATTTATCGACTGCCCATTTAGAACACAGTATCAGCCTACAGCGGAGCTGTGGAGCCAACTCTGTTATCAAGTACAGGCTTGTGAATTATGGCTGCGCCTTAGTTCTTCAAACTCATAAAGTCACGGGTCACGAAAGAGAGTCTTGGGAATTATGATAATCTCCTCATCAGCCTGTCTTAACTCACACACTTCTATACTAATGAGGGCCTCAAGCATGCGTCATTAGCTCCGACGAGGGCCCTCTTATCTCTGATCTAATAATCCTAATCTCATCTCTGAATCCATCGTTATCAAACAAACATCCTTATCCTTTCCCTAATCTAATCTTATTCTGGCTCGAGAGATTGTAAAGATAAAGACTTTCTCAGACCTTGTATCCTTTGACAAACTCTTCATTTTAGACCAACCAAAGTCAAACAAATGCAGCTACAATCATCACAACGAATCTGCGACAGCTTACATACGCACGCGAGCTGTTCACGAACTATACTTTCCTCCATACGCTGCACAAACGCTCGTCCTACCCTTTACTGTGCCGCAGTCTGAATATCTGCTTCTTGCATATAAAACGAAATAGCCTCGGCCTCAGTCACCTAGAGAATACAGCGTAACATGAACCTCCTTCCCCATCTTAACACTTTCATCTGGAATGTAATTAGCGCAGCAAGAAGCTTAGCACTCCGCCCTGCTCTCAGCCCCAACCAAGGTAACTCTAGGCAGCCCCTAATCCTCACCGCCTAATGGGATTAGCTCCGGAGGGAAGGGAACCCATGTCACACACACAAATACATTCAAAATCCAAACCTCTCCTCTGCTGTCTCACTATCCATATCTCTCTCGTTCTCCCTGTGCCATTCCACTAAGTGTTTAATAGGATTATACCAAAATTGTCCATTTCTTAGAAATCACATCTGGTCCACTCGGTGTCAGCGCGCTGATGATGATAGGATGGAAATAAGAAGCCTTAAATTATCATTCACCGAGTCTATAAGTGAACTACAGGGAAAACCTATGTTAAGTCATTCTAAACTGGTTTTAATGTGTTGAGGATAGGCTGGCGTGTTTGGATGGCAACGGGATTATCTGAGTGGACAAAAACTATCATTTTTCCTCACAGAGCTTGTAAACAAGATTTTGCAGCATCCAAGTTTTGTGTGAGGGGGTCTGAGACTGTTCCCCTGTGAAAAACAAAACAGAAGCAGATTTATCGTGTGCATTTCCACGTTGAAGTCAAAAGAAAAACAGTTTGGGTTTAAATTTTCAGTAGTAGCCCAAGCAGGACAATAAAATGTGCACTATTGGTCTTGTGTGAAACTATTTAATTATCTCCATCCATGTTTTGTTACTCTCACTGAGTGGCAGAAGCCCAAGCAGAGATTTCCAGACTTCCAGGCCTCTAGCTCTTCTATGAGGCATTCCCTAAGCAGCTGAAGTGTCTGTAGTGTGTCATGGAGCTGCCTTGGGGTTTCCTTCCAGTTAGAAGAGCTGAAACACCTCAGCGAGGAGTCTTGTGTTTCGATATGGAGGAGCAGGGCTACTATCAGCGTGACCCAAAAACTCTTTGGAGGCTAGTTTGTAGCCACTGGTGACAGTAGGCATGTAAAAACACAAAAAGTGTCAAGTTCCCCTTCTCCCTGCCAAAAGAGATCACAATCGTGCAGACAACGTGCCAATGTGTCCTGTAACTTGCCTTTTCCCTCCACAAACTCGTATTCTCAGCAAATCAAATCGACTAGCTAACAACAAATCAGCTATAGCTAACCAAGAGCTGGTTAATCCTAAATTAACGACCTTTAAAGAAGCTGTTAACTTAAACGGAGGAACACAGTCTGCAAATCGTGCAAACTCAACTGTGAATCCATACAAGACTACCAATATACCTGCACATAACATAAAAGAATACGGAGCCCCGCAGGGGACATGTGAGAAAAAAAATTAAGACGGACTTTTGCGAGATCTCGCAAAACAAACTCGGGATCTCGCAAACGTTTTAGCCGCATTCTTCGGAC